AAAAAAAAACCTCCGGTCACAAGAATATAGTGAAGACTAACACAAATTTGCATCCAATAAGTGGATACTGGTAAAAATGGACACATTGCCTCTATGGTGCGGTGCTTGAAAAAGCAGTGGTCAGTCATTAGTCCATAAATTCAGCAAGCCTTTTATTGAAACAATTCCACGCTAATTATCTGCAGCAATTGATACAGCTTCATTAAAATAACATAGGATCCATTCAGCTAAGAGTAACACAAAACTACAGGTACCGATAATATAAGACCTCGCTATTGGCTGGCCGTAGAGCTCGTAAAAGAAAAACACTGTAGAGTGTGTAGAAGTGTAGAGATTATGCTAATGAGTGAGGTGGCCATACACTTACCGGGAGCTATGTCCCCCGCAGTCAATCAGTGCAGTTTCCCTCCAGCTGAAACAAAAGACAGACAATTCAAACGATTTATAAACCAACAATGTCAATCCACTACCGCAATCCTTGAAAGCAATAAAATGTAGGTACTATGAGGCATATGTGTACAACATTTGAGTTCCGTTATCCTGTTTACAGAAACAAGACATCTGTGTGTGGATGAATGAATAGAATGGATAAGTGGAAGGGTGGCTGAATGAGACTGCAACTGATATAGAGCATTGGGCATTTCCTTTGCCGGAAATATAGTATTCCTGATACACAGTGTTTGGGATTGGTTCTGATTTCGTCTACGTATAACTGGTGATCGCTATGACCTATTTTCGATTACAACCCCGCCGTCGGAAATATTAATAATGATTGAAATAGAACCCGTAGCTCCAAATAATAATCGAATGTAAAAAGACATTAAAATTAATTTAAAAGTGACAGAGATTATACGTGACTTTGTCTACATGTCTCTGTACAATAACAATCACCCATGTGAACAGGAGAGGACGCCAAGTGCCAGCCCGCTTTATTCCCAATAAATAATTATTTCATGTTATTATTCAGACGTATCTAAGATCTAAACAAAAAGTCGCACGTATGTTTTTTTTGGACTCAGACGCCGTGCAGTGTGATAGAAATGTGGCAGTGTTTCTGAAGAACCTTCCGTTTCCATCTTCATGGTATGTGAGTAAGCTAAAGTAAGCTGTGAGGGAAAAGTGTATACACACAGAGAACGAAAATCACGAAGAACTTCAATTATTTTGCATTAAAGTTTATACGATAAATTGTTATGAAGTCTGGATAGATCAGTCGGTATAGCAAAGGATTAAGGGCTGGACGCTGGGGTTGATCACGGCAGGAGCAAGATTTCTCTCTACTCAACAGCATAGAGACCGACTCTAGGGCCACCCAGCCTCTTATCCAATGGGCAGGGTGGGCTATTTCCGGGAGGGGTAAAGCGGTAGGGACGTGACGCTGACCACTGNGTACAATAACAATCACCCATGTGAACAGGAGAGGACGCCAAGTGCCAGCCCGCTTTATTGCCAATAAATAATTATTTCATGTTATTATTCAGACGTATTTAAGATCTAAACAAAAAGTCGCACGTATGTTTTTTTTTTGGACTCAGACGCCGTGCAGTGTGATAGAAATGTGGCAGTGTTTCTGAAGAACCTTCCGTTTCCATCTTCATGGTATGTGAGTAAGCTAAAGTAAGCTGTGAGGGAAAAGTGTATACACACAGAGAACGAAAATCACGAAGAACTTCAATTATTTTGCATTAAAGTTTATACGATAAATTGTTATGAAGTCTGGATAGATCAGTCGGTATAGCAAAGGATTAAGGGCTGGACGCTGGGGTTGATCACGGCAGGAGCAAGATTTCTCTCTACTCAACAGCATAGAGACCGACTCTAGGGCCACCCAGCCTCTTATCCAATGGGCAGGGTGGGCTATTTCCGGGAGGGGTAAAGCGGTAGGGACGTGACGCTGACCACTGACCTGCATCTAGTGCCGAGGTCAAGAAAACATGCATCTATATCTCCACTCCCCATCGCTTTCATGACATAATGCTTAATGAACTAGCCACAAGAACAATTTTGCTTTTTACATTATAACGTTATAGACCTCAGAAAGTGAATTTGTTTTGTCAAACTTTAATATTTCCATATTATTTCGTTTCCTTGGTCTAATTATCATATTCATTGTTTTTATACTCAATGGTACTTTATGTAATGAACAACATTAAACCGGTAAAGTTCTAGGATGTGGACTGACGGATGACATTTGCAAATAGCTTCATGGTCCAAGNAGTAAGCTGTGAGGGAAAAGTGTATACACACAGAGAACGAAAATCACGAAGAACTTCAATTATTTTGCATTAAAGTTTATACGATAAATTGTTATGAAGTCTGGATAGCTCAGTCGGTATAGCAACGGATTAAGGGCTGGGCGCTGGGGTTGATCACGGCAGGACCAAGATTTCTCTCTACTCAACAGCATGGAGACCGACTCTAGGGCCACCCAGCCTCTTATCCAATGGGTAGGTTGGGCTATTTCAGTGAGCGGTAAAGCGGTGGGGGCGTGACGCTGACCACTCACCTGCATCTAGTGCCGAGGTCAAGAAAACATGCATCTATATCTCCACTCCCCCATACGCTTTCATGACATAATGTTTAATGAAATAGACACAGGAACAATTTTGCTTTTTATATTATAACGTTATAGACTTCAGAAAGTGAATTTGTTTTCTCAAATTTTAATATTTCCATATTATTTTCGTTTCCTTGGTCCTAATTATCATATTAATTGTTTTTATACTCAATGGTACTTTATGTAATGAACAACATTGAACCGGTAAAATTCTAGGATGTGGACTGACGGATTGCATTTGCAAATTGCTTCATGGTCCAAGAAACCTACATCCAAGTCAGCATCCCTTCTTCCCTGTAACATGTCCGGAAAGAACGTTTTGTTTAAGCCACTGCAGCTAAGGCGATCTCAACGGAACTAACCGGATAGCCAAAGCGTTGAGTGGTGTCCACATCTACCGTACAGAATGAACGTGAGAGCGCGATGAGGTGCCAACAGGTTTGTTCCATTCTCTGCGAGAGTTGTAAGTTCTATTTCTGTTTACATTTTAACCATCCGAGTAAACTTTCAAAGGACTATTAATAACACAAAGCATGACCAATGAAATAAATTAAGAAGCAGGTTCGTGTAGGGGTAACAATCTACTTCTATTGTGGAGGTAAAGTAAAGTATAGTAGGGTAATGTAAGGTAAAGTTGCCCTTGTGTTTAATTAAGCACTATACCATGAAGGTGTATGGAGGAGTGGATGTATAGACCCACATTTTCTTGGCTTCCGTACTACTTGTAGGTGAGTGGTCAGCTTCACGTCCCGGCCGCTTTACTACCGGGGAAAGAACCCCCGGTACCAATTGGATAGGAGACTGGCTGGACCCCAGAGCCAATCTGGACGATGTGTAGAAGAGAAATTTTTGACCATACTGGGACTCGAACTCCGAACTCTCGGTCGTCCAGCACTTAGCCAGTCGCTATACCGACCACGCGAGGTACTCAGCTCAAATCTCGCCCGGGACACCGGCTATTCTGAGCGATATTTCTCGTAGTTTTCCTCAGTCCCTCCAGTAACATGCCGGGATACTACGTGCAGTAATCGATTAACCATCGCTTCCTGCCACATTCTTTTGTACATGTATTCACTGTTCAAACTGCATTCTTCCATTAGACGTTATAGAGTGTGAGATACTGACAAAGTTGTAAAATGAGCCATAAAAATCAAGAAATTTCTGAGAAAACCTCAATCTCGCTGTTTTAAGTGTGGATGCTTTGTTACTCTAAGGACATTGATCATTATAGAGTTCTGATAGGGACTGCTACGTCCTTACAAGCGGAAATTTAGAAATTTAGAAAACGTATTAAAGATAAGCAGCGACACACACAGAGAGCGCCTGCACTGAACAACACATGAACAACGATAAAAACAAGAAGTGGCCGCTGCAGCACCGTAGATATAGGGCATGTACCCTGAAAAAAATTTTAACTAAAAAATTTGAAAAAGAAAGAACAGAGATCTTATAGACATTTTAACTTGAATTAAAGTTTAAAAAGTGCTAATTTAAAAATCAAATCGACGCGTGTAGATTAACAAAGATTTTATACAATTAGAAAGACTGGTGATTTTAAATTTTAACAACAGTGTAACAGCTACGTGAGTGATACACACCTGATGATGGCCATTTAGGGCCGAAACATGTAGTGTGGAGGAGGAAAAAAGAAGTAAAAACTACAATAAAATTGTTGCACTTAAGACGGTATTTGTCCATATATATTGTGTGAGTGTAACAGGATGCTGAAATATAATATTGGAAATTTACTATTAATAAATTCAAAGTAGGTCTGGCGGACTATAACATTTTTCATTAACTTATAACTTTTAAAGTTCATTCTGTAACAACCCATACAAACACGCTATATAGTGCTCATGTCTTTCTCAGAAAAACCGAAAAGAATAATCGATTTTCTTCAAATCCCGATGTGCTTACCTTATCTGACGCAGTTAACGCTGGCAGGAAGGTCAGAGCAGTATGTACAACGTGTCAGTCTTTAATCATAATTTCGGTTATTGAGTGAAAAAACTGCATGGGTGTCAAACTTGAGCCCTCTCCTTAACCACAAATTATAAATTTAATGCATTTAAGAAAAACATGCCGGGGAGAATATTTGGACGTAAGCGAAACGGAAAGAGAAATAGAGACAGACAGAGGAACAGACAGTAATGTGAGAACGCACTTCTTCAGCCTTTGCGAATATTGTCTTCTGGTCTCTACGGTTTCGGAATTAACTTCTGAAAGCATTCACATTTTAGGCGATTGGTAGGACTCCCTGGACGCAGTATTGGCTCTAAGTAAGTCCTTTATCTAGAGGGGGGAGGGGGGCAACACAAATACAGAGAAAAAGCACAAACACGCCCCAACTTGGATTCGAAACAATGATTTTAATAAAGAAAGCAGTCCTCTGGGATGTAGCACCGTGTAGATGTGGTGTTAACCGACGTTTCTTATTTTTCCTTCTATCCTGAAGATGGAGGCGATACTTTCCTCCGAAACGTCGGACAACACAACATCTACACGGTGCCACATCCCAGAAGACTGCTTTCTTCATAATCACCGCCGTGAAAACCTAAAATGTTACAATGATTTTAATGTTCGAAATTACAAAGGCCGTACAAAAGAGACCGCACTGCCAATGTGATCAAATTCATAATTTGTACTCTTCAAACATATTAGTAATAGGGTGATCATATCAGGGAGAGATAAGAAATGAGTACACAATTCTGATCTGGAAACCGGAAGGGAAGAGAACATTTCGAAACCTAGATATAGGCGAAAAAAATATTATTATTTGTGTCGCGTAGAATGAGAATGCGAAGGTTTTAATTGAATTCATCTAATTCAGGAGGTCTCTTGTGAACACGGCGATG